TTTCCTCTTCAAAGTTGTGATTTTTTATAATTTGACATAAGTAAACAAGTAGTATTTAGAAGATGAATTCTCGTAAGCAAACATTTTTACCTAAAAGAGAATTGATTACATTTAGATTTTTGAAAGGCATTTCGACCTTGTCGCTAAAGTTTTTGTGACCATCAATGAGGAAGCTTAAGCAAAATCTTTTTAAAAAGGTTCTCTTAATGAATCGAATATCTAATTTGTGGTTGATGGCTGTCGAGTTTCGTCCACCATCCCTCTTCAAATCTTTCATTTGTGTTTCGTATTTTGTTTTAAATTACGACCATATTCTTTTCCATTTCTTGTGCTATTTTCGTAACCTTCGTTCTTAAATTTGTGTCATTTTTATTATGTTATGATTGTCTATTTTTTGTTATGAAAAACACAGTCGATCAATTTTAGTTCTTTTTTCCCTTAATAAATTGTTAGTTTTTATAAATTTTTATTTTCTAAAATGTTCAATTTTATAACTGTTTTTAATAAATGATTAAAAAAACACTTTTGCATCAGCAAACGTAGCGTGATAGAAACTGGCGTACACTGAATCCTATTTGAATCTGTTTACCTGAAAACAAGAAAAGCTCAAATGACAAAAAGATGATCTTGTAAAAGTAAATCACTTTAAAATAATGGCATAATTGGCAATAATTTCTTTTCAAGATATAGGTCGAAGAGCGGGAGACGATATGCATCCTTGTTTTTTTAAAAACAGAAACATGTTTTCTCTTTTCTCACTTTACAAGTTTTGACTATAATTAGAGTAATGGTAAAACAATAGCATTTGTTGTATAGTTACAGAATATCGTTAGAATGACTTACCCAATATCCAAAAACGAATAATTGAAATTGAAAAAAATTCGCATGAAACCGAGCGCAAAGTCTTTGTTTAAAGAAGTTGTAAAAGTTTCTATTATTTTACTGAGAAACAATAGAAAAAATGTATGTGTGCATTGAAGGATACATATACACACCTTGTAGATAATATTCATAATATATAACGGGGGTATATTTCACAAAGAAAATACCAACAACTCAATTATATCAAGCGGAAAAAAATCTTTTCCTATCCTGTTTTTTTTTGTTTCTTAAAACTCGTAGGTAAGAAGAGGACATTTGGCCGTATATAAAAGCGTATGCAACTGAAATTTGAATTTTTTCAGTTACAGTTTTGGCAAAGGGAGAACGATGCGTGTTAAGGCCAGAATGCGAACAACTTTTGATAATATGCACCAAGTATTGAAGTCAATATCTAATCTTTCCTAACCGCAAATTTCGTGAATGATCCACAGGCTAATTTTTGACTAAAACTTCTTATGACACTGTTATTTTGAGTGATTGAAAGATGATAATACACAAGATTTTAGATGACGACGTCCAGTAGAGATATGACATTCGATTCTGGAATCGGATGGATTTGGGAAAAGAAAATCAAGCGATCTTCATTCATCAACGGAATGGTTCTAATTATTACTATCAATTCTCATTGGTCGAAAAAGCTCCAACAGAGAAACCATGGATTAAACTTGTCTTGAAAAACATACGTAGAAAATAGCGCCATGTCAAAATTGAATCGATCACGTGGAGCAATCTATCCTTTTCTACTTTTCTACTCTAACTTTTTGCAGTTTATACCTGCTTTTTGAACATTTTTAAAGTAGAACTAAATCATTAAAATAATCAGTTTACACAGTAAGTACACAGCACTTGCACTGAGTGAGAGAATAGGGATATAGAAATTTCTTTCTATTTTACTAGTCTAATGCAGCAACATTGATGTTTGCTGTGAACATGAGGCATTTTTATTAAGCACACTCCCTAAGTTTTCAACATCATGTGGTTATTGAGCCAGCTCTGAAAGCACTGGTAAGAATTCTGAATCAGTAAGGGGCAAAAGCGAAGAGAAAAACTTTTGGAAACTAATTTTTAGTTTTTACGGAACTAATGCACATTTTGATTCAGCGTTCATTGAATATTCTGATAAAACTGCATATTTGATTCAACTTTTCAGACCGAGCTGATCGTCGACCAGTGTAAGAGTAATAGCATGAAAATAAAGCAAATATACAGAAAAACATGGACGAAGCAATGGTCAGGATCCTCTGATATATATAGTTGAGAATATATCAGAACTATAGACTTTGCAACTTGAGACAGAAGTATAGACACATGTTATCAATAAAAATACTTCAGATTTCGTTAACATTATGGCTTCTGGTCGAAGTATAAGAAATGTATCAGTATAATAGGACGATGCTAAACATGCAACAACGGATTCAAGTAACAGTAACATTGCTGAATTATCCATAATTGATTTTCGTCTACCTTGGAAACTTGTTAGTGCTTCCAATAGTGTATTCAGATGTTCCAGATTATGCTCGGATAAATGTGTACCTGTTTTGGCTATTTCTTGAACGCAAGAACCTATCGCTCCAATAAATGTCTCATTTAATAGCCATGTGCCAATTTTATCGATTTTATCCGGTTCGTCATTCGGACCTTGAACTAGTTTTAATAATAATTGACTTATTTCACCAAATAAGTCACTCTCATCATCTGTCAAAGGTGTTTTTAAATACCATTTTTCTAATAATTTACGTAAAGTATAGGGTAATAGTAAGGCATAAAGTTGATGATCTAACAGGAACACATCTGTTAATTTTTCTCGAAAAGTTTCAGGTTGACTCTTTTCTGATTTTTCAAGTCATTTCTGAACGCGGAAAAAAAATTCAGTTCCGGAGTCAACATGAAATTTTTCGTGTTAAAAAATT